TTTTTTTTAAGCAAGGGTGTGTGTGTAAAGGTTATGAACAATTAATATCTTATCTGTTTCAGATAGCTCTTTGAATGGCCTCAGTTTGGAGAAATACAGTTTAATTCTGATTGGAGTGAAGAGTTAACAGGTATTCTGAGTTGGGCCAAGACTAAGTGGATTGCAATTTAAATAAAACAAAACAATACTGGATTTTATAAACCCTTAGAGCACCAAATATTGTTACAGGACACAGTTATTGACACAGAATTCTATAGTTATTTAAAGTTGTTCTAAAACATCATCAGTTTTTGGTCTTGGCTCCAGCTGAAGGATTYATCAGCAAAGAAGTAAACTACTTTTCCAAACTGAGGTCATTTGAAGAGTTATCCACAGCAGGTAAGATACTCATTGTTCATAATATTTAAATAGAACACCACATCAGAAGATCTGAACTATTACTTCAAGACTAATTAAATTCACGAGAGCAATTTATGTAGAAATGAGGAAAAACTGAAGAAGCAGGCTGTGAGTGTGAGAAGAAACAGGATGAAGATAGTTTGTGAGATGCGGGCCTACTTCAAACATGAACAAACAAAACAAAAACAAAAWCATGAAGGCCGATGGCTCGTCAGTGGTTCAGAAACACATGTGCRTATTGCAGTCTGGACTCACTATTACACACACACCTACACACACAGCCTCCCCGCTGAGCCCGAGCCTGTCCAGAGACGGGTCTATTGGTCTATTGAGGGGAGCGAGAGGGAGCTGTCCCTTTCTGTCGAGCTAATGAAGCCTGGAGCYACAAGCATAAAGGAGTGGAGTGAGTTAGCACCCATTCACCGGCTTCCTTCCTTCACACGGCTCCTGATGAGGTAATGTGTTCTCCCTTAAAGAGACACCATGAGACATTTACGTTTGGCCTCACATCACTTTTTACATTTGAAACTTGTTCCTGGAGACAAAAAGACGSCAAGAAAACTGCTTCAAAAAGCACAAGGATGCATTTTTGTTGTAAAAAATGACTGTAAACAGACCAAAACCACTTTGTTGAATTAGCAACAAAATGCTGTTTCAAGRCATGGTACAGACAACAAACGGGTCCAGTTTAAGCTGCTTACACACAACTTTTGCACATTTTTATATAAGCAGCTGCTTAATACAAATTATTTGCCATATATTTCTATAATGCTAGCTAAAATAAGAACAAGATGTTTATAGAGCTCAGTGGAAAAAAGGCTTCTTAAAGTATAAATTCAATAGAAACTGTATAAAAATTATTCAGCCCAATATTTTTGAAAATCTKAAAAATTTCCAACTTGAGGACAAAATGCATATATTTTAAAASAACTATAAAGTAATCTTAGGCATTACTGATACATCTATATTAGAAAAAGCTAAAAATMCTTTAGTTGCCAAAAGGTGCTTCAGCGTTAACAAACATCAAAATGCTTGATCATGATATTAGTTTAATTACCGATGAGAATCAGATCTTTTTCCCCATTAACAACATAAAAAGTATAATAAGATAATTCGTATAGTCTTAACTGGTGCATTCATGGCAGTTTCCTCCATGAAGGAATTGCAGAGCATCGCTCCACATCTGCTGTCAGTCAGAGAGAAACAAAAGCCGGCATCTCACTGGAGAGCCTGAGACCAACATGTCACTCAGAGAAGAAATGCCACAGAAAGCAGAGATGTGGGGAGAAAAGGCTACGAGACGACACAATCAGACTTTTAGCAGGGGAGGTCTGTCTGTCTGTCTGTCTGTCTGTCTGTCTGTCTGTCTGTCTGTCTGTCTGTCTGTCTGTCTGTCTGTCTGTCT